GTCAGTGAGTGTGGCTGAAGGAAGTAAATGAAGGAAAGAGTTAAAGTAAATGATGTCTTAAAAGTACAGTGGGGGATGGTGAAGATCATGCAGAGCCTTGTAGGTTAGTAGGGGCTCTGGCTTTTATCTCTGAATAAGAGGAGAAGTCACTAAAGAGTGTCAAGTAGAGGAGTGATGTGACTTGACAAACTCTGTCTATTTGCTTATATCAGTATGGACTCTTGTGTACTTATTTTATCCTACAGAAGAAAATCCAATAATATCATTATTTTTGTTGTTCCTCAAACTGGTCCAGTTCTTAGGAGCTCTTGCAGATTGTCTCCTGTGTTTTCAATGGGTTCCCATATTTCTGAGCACTTCTTTACTTCCTGGTACCACAAGATGATCCAGAGGCTCATCTTATCTTGGATTTTCCCTGCACAGTCCTGTAACGAACTACTTCTCAAGGAACCTTGGTTTCTTGTATCGAAGAACTGTGGTTAGACATCAAGATTTAAGGACTAGGAATCTCAATGCTACTAGGGCATCAGTGATTCCAGGCTCTCTCAGGGAATAGAGACAGGAAATATACACACGCAACTAACTCATACATATATGTACATCTATATTTCTGTATCTGTCTGTATAAATATTAAAAACAGTGAGTTTATATTCATACTTCAGATCCCCTTCCAACACCAGGAAGTTCATATAGCCTTTCCTTACTGTAGTTCCCTTCCCCAATGCTGAGAAACCTAGCTCTTATAATATTTACTTATTTGTTCACTTATAGTATACACATAAAATAGTTTCAAAATTGCTAATCCATATTCCTGTGAGATCTTTTTGTCTTTAGCTTTATGTTATCTAATCAAGATACCATTTTCTACACTGCTTAGGTTAGCTCTTTTCTTCCCTACCCTCTTCATTGTGAATCTGGCTATTCCTTTTTGGGTTCCCCCACATCCTGATTGGTGGTAATTGCTTATTTCGGGAGTATGTAAAACACTCCTATGGTTCTAAGAGTCAGAGCTATACAAAACAGTATACTCTGAAAAGTGTCACTCACATTTCATCCATGCTACACACATCTCATTCCCTTCTTTTTGACTCTTTCCCACCCAACCCCCAATAGGTAACCAATCTATTTAGTTTCTGATTTATCCTTCTTGTATTTCTTTCCCACAAATGAACATCTGCATGTATGTTTTCTTATATCTCATTCTTTCCTCTTTTTTTTCTTTTGAGATGGGGTCTTGCTCTGTTGCCCAGGCTAGAATGCAGTGGCATCATCATAGCTCACTGCAACCTCCAACTCCTGGGCTCAAACGATCCTCCTGCCTTCCAAGTAGCTGAGACTATAGGAACGAGCCACCACACTCATTTTTATTTATTTTTTAAATTTTTTGTAGAGACGGGATCTATTGCCCAGGCTTCGCTCTTTCTTAAATAACGGGTAGCATACCAAAAGTGATCTTTTGTAATTTTGTTCAGTTAGTGATACACAGCCACTCCACATCAGTTCATAGACATATTCCTCACTGCTTTTTTTTTTTTTTTAACGCTGCATGGTACTCCACTGTATGAACATATCATAGTTTATTCAACCATTCTCCTACATGTGGGCATTAGTTTGCTCCCAATATTTTGCAAATCAAACAAGGCTATAATCATTAATTGTTAACAGTACCTATTGTTGGAGGCATACTCAGGATAAATTCCTAGAAGCATCAAAAGGTAAATGTACATAGTTTTGCTAGATTATCACCAAATTTCCCTACAGAAGATTAGCACCAATTTGCATCGCCCAGCAAAGTATGAGAGTACCTGTTTCCCCAAAGCCTTGTCAACAAATGTGTTGTTATATGTTTGCATTTTTTGTCAATAAGACAAATCTTCCTTTCTTAGGGGCAGAGTTCTAGCTAACTGGTCCAGTCTGTGTCTATTTGATAATGAGGAAAAATGAACAAAATAAACGAAAAAACAGTAAAAATGGCAATAAAGACCGACACTACTATAAGTAACTATAAGTTCTGAGTGGCTGGATCTAGAGGAGAGATAAATGTTTGACAAAACTGCCATTAATTCCCCTCTAATCTCCTTACCACCTACCTATTCCAAGTACTCTATCTGCATTTGACTTACTTGGGCACAATCAATGCTAATGACAAAGAAAGAATGCAATGTCTCCCAGGGCCAGCCTCGATCTCTAAATACCATCTACACATTGATCAGTAAGCATTTAGAGTAAATATTAATCAGATAATTAATATTAAATATTAACCAGTAAGCATTTAGAACAAAAAAAGATATCTTCTGTCCAAATAAGACAGTGAGGCAAGCTTTCATTTAAACACCCTCTTGGCAAACAGAGATAGAAAACACACGTATGCATACAAACTCATGCATATACACACATCTACATTTCCTGTATTTGTCTTTATAAGTATCAGACATTATGAGTATATTGATTCCTCTGGTTCTAATACAACAAAGTTCATTTTAGCCTTTGTCCATTGCCTTCCCTATTATACTTTTCACGGTCACAAAATAACCCAAAACAACTTCTGACGTAGTCGTAAAAGAGATGGCTCTCACTGAATCACAGTGATAATCTGATCACTGAAGTATGTTCATAATAGGGAATATACTATTATGCACTACATTGTTCAAAATTTGATGACATATGCACTTAAATGAAATGTCAAATTTCAAAAACAAGTACTCTCACTTGGCTATTCTTGAGGTGACAGTTACTTATCCATGTAAATTAGATGATTTTGATAATCTGAGTAAAACTAATGTTACAATAATGGAATACTACTTGAATCACAAGCCCTGTCTCAATTATGCTTTTGAAAGCATTATGTACAGTCTATCTATTAAAGCCCACATAGTTTCTACGGTCAAAATTTCCAATTTTAATATTCCTTTAGAAGGGCTGTCTCACTTCTCCCAAACATACTTGTCGAAAGCCAAAGGGAAGCATCCTGGGCAACATAGCAAGACCCCATTTCTACAAAATATAAAACGTTAGCTGGGCATGGCAGTGTGCTCCTGGGAGGCTGGGGTGGGAGGATCACTTTAGCCCAGGAGATCAAGGCCGCAGTGAGCTATGATCATGCCACTGCACTCCAGCCTCTGGGCAACTGAGCAAGACTGTGTCTCAAAACAAACAAACAAACAAACAGCAAAAAACTCAAAGTGAATTTGTAGATAGTGAAGCAATTATCACTTCATAGAGCTGGCTGCCTTTATAGAGGGGAGGTAATTGTTTAATTTCTTTTTGTGATTGTTTCAAAATTATAGGAAAATCCAGTGAAAGCTTTGAAACATGGCAAACCGTGTGTATATTACCTTGGGATAATGACATAAAGATGAACCGAAGTGCCAGCTGGACTTGAAAGAAATATTTTAATCAATGTTTAAATTATCAGAGTCAGTCCACATT